CCTGATAAGCGCTTGGCATGAACACGAGAGCCTCACCACACCATGCAGAGTGCCCTGGTGCGCATCTTACAGATGAGGACAGGGAGCCCCAGAGGAGCTGCGCATTGCACAAGGTCACCCAGCCTCTGAGTGTCAAGGCAGGGTCTGCACATGCTCTCCAGCCTTCACCTTGGATGGATCACGAATGCCTGAGGGTGCGATGACCCAACTCCTGCGGAATGTCAGGGAAACACAGAAAGGCAAGCCAGAGCAAAGGGATGTGGGGGCAGGTGGGCAAGCAGGAGGGATGAGGTGGACCCCTCTCCCCCACCTGCATGGGTGCAGGGCACACACTCTACCTGAGGGTCATTCCTCAAGTAAGGCGCCCTCCTTTCCTCAAGCTGTCACCAATCTGTGTGATAGCCCAGGCTGTGTCCATGCCCATAAGAGCTTCTGGGCGTGGCTTTGACAGAAGAAGCTGGCTGACCCTTGGCAAGTCACTCTCCTCTCTGAGCCTGTTGCTTCACCTGCAACAAGGGACTCACAGGCAAGGTCACTCTAAGCTGTGGTGACCCAAAGCTCCTGACCCCAGCCTTAATAGGAGGCCCCTTTCCCGCCTGACCCCTGACTTAGCACTATGCATTGGGAAGATGAGGACACACACCACACCGGGGCTTGGGAGTGTGTGGCGAAATCTCAGGGAGACTGGATCAGTTGGGATACAGTGCCAGAGAGCCACAGGGAGCAAATGTCAGCTTTTGCCCCCTCCAGGCAACCCTTCCTTATCTCTGTCTGCTTCAAGCCTGGGCCTGCAGGTCTGGCTTCCAGCTCCCAGAGCTCTCCGATCTGTCCTGGGTGGCAGCTTCCTCCCCTCCCAGCCCCCAGGCCTGCACACAGTAGCTCCTCCTGTGACAGAGGCCTGAGCTCAGGACCCGAGAGCACAAAGATCCTGGATGAAGTCGGGGTTCCCCTTTCCCGCTTGCTGCATGAGACTCTCCCCCAGCTGGTGTGACTGCCCATTTGACATGGTGTGTGTGGGGTAGTGAGGGCAGCCCCTGGGACACAAGCGGGTAAGTGCAGTGCTGGGGCCACTTTTTCTCCAGGACGCTTGGTGAGACTGTTGGGGTCCCAGCCCTCAAGACTGCGCCCCTCCTCAGATTCCCAGCTGCTTTCTTCTCTGCTGCGCACCTGGGGCCAGTGGACCCCAGCCCAGCCCTGCCCCCCTCCCAGGGCAGCAGCCACCCAAACCGCTGCACCTCCTCCTCCCTGGGCTTGTTCTGGGTGGGGTGAGTGGGTCTGAGCAGAAACGGACCAGTGTAGAGGATCCCCCAGCCTGGGGCTCTTCTGGCCACAGAGGCAAAAGGTTTCTCTGGGGTCTCCGGGTGGTCAGTGTCACAGGACTCCCGCAATAACCTCACCGGGTAGGCATCATCCCAGGCTCCTCCAGGTCCTGGGGGACACCTGGACCACAGGAACCCTCCGTTTGGCTGTGGGACCTCCCGCAAGTCACGCCCAAGGACTGTCTTCCCAAGGCTGCAGTGTTGTCTCAAGAGCAAACCCACAGGTCACTCTGACGTACAGGCAGGCTCTGGGCCTCACATGCACTTAGCACTCGGTGCTGCTTTTCCCCAACGGGACTGAGCCCAGGAGACAAGTCACTGAGCTGGTGGGCAGCAGCGTCAGGGTGCAGGTGTAACAGAGGTACCTGTTCCTTTCACACCAATGGACATGACCTCTGGGAACTCTAGCAGGGCCTGGGGATGGGGGTGGAGGGGGCACAGGCTCTGCTTTCTCTGCCCTGCACTGCCCCCTCCCCGGCACCAACCAGGAGACTGGAACCCAGGAGACCCAACATACCCCAGAGAACCCGCCAAGAATGGGCAAACAAGGTTTTGCACTGTAAGTGGGGGCAGCGGTGGGAGTGGGAGGGGAAGAAGCTGGAAAGCCCTGCAAGAACGTGGCTCCCAGTGGGAGGCCACCTCCTGGAGCCTCAAGCCATCTGCGGTCCCATGCTGCCCCCGTGTGGGCAACAGGCTCACAGTCCTGGCTGCACCAGGAGGCTTGCGCCCCACCAGCTGGCCCCTTGGGAATTTCTAAACAGGCCTAAGCCACACCACAGCCATGCTCAGGGGCTGCCCTGAGTCTGCTCTCCTACAGCTAAGGCATCCTAGTTTCCTATATCTGGGCACACTGGTGCTCCCTGTCTCTCCACAACTGCAGGACCGAGGGGACCCAGCACCCCTGAGAACTACCACTTCCCTCTACCCTGACCCTTCCTTGGATCCTGTCCTAATTTTCAGCATCCTCTTGCCACTGACCTTCTTTCCCAAAACTCTGTCCCAGCCTCGAGAAAGCTCATGGAAGAAAAGTATGGGCGGGACTAGATGATTGACCCACTCTGCACGCAGCACGGGGTTCGGGGCTTTACTCAAACTAGCCAGTTGTAGCCTGTGAGGCCAGCGTGACCTCTATCCCCAGTGACACACAATACCCAGGCTTAGAGGCAGTGACCTGGACCTAGTAGAAGAGCTGACGCTCATCTCTATGAAAATCCCTCCTGGACCACTAGCCTGGACTGGTGGCGTGTGAACATTTAATTCCTCAAACAGTTACCTTCACATGCATCCAAGGCTATGCCAGACACTGAAAACAACCCCAGATGCCTCTGAACCTGTCACTTCACGGAAGAGGCCCCACCAGATCTCACCTGAACTGTGCTCCAAACAAGACCTAAACAGGCTTGCCCAGGCCCCGGTTTGTCTGCTCACCCAGGACTCACATGTCTCTGCTTTGTGCCCAAGGCATTTGCAGGGACCTTGATGAAGCTTCTCTGCTGAGCGCACGAGTGACTCTGTCCCAACTGTGCCACAGTGGAGGGTGAGTAGACGCAGGCAGGACAGAGTTTGGGGAAAGATCAGTGGAAACTGGCTGCCTGAAATGAGGACAGGGTTGTAGGGATGGCTAGGATGGGGGGAAGTGAAAGTCCTCATGGGGGCTAGGTCTCCCCAGGCCTGAAATTCCAGAGACACAAGGGAAGAGCTGCTCTCTTACAGAGGGTGGGAGTGTCAACCCTAGAGGAAAGGTTAACTTCTTCTTTTTTTTTTAAAGATTTATTTTTATTTATTCATACAGAAATGGGGTACAGGCCAGAGATGCGGAGGGTGAGAGGATTCACCAGGAACAGAGTTGGGAGCAGAACAGGCAGATTGACGAAGTACACTGCTGAGGGGAGCAGCGGGCGGGTCAGGAGAGGTCTGCCACGCCATGTGGTCACCTCCTGGGCAGGCAGGAATCGAACTCATGTGGAATTGGATTAAGCTTCTTAGTGAGTGCTTTAACCTGCTGCGCCACCAGGGAGGGCCAGGTTAACTTCTTAACCTTTGTGCCCAAAACTTCTTTGAATCTAGTGATGCTTTAAAAAAACAAATTTATTTATGCATACAAGAACTGGGTACAGGCCAGAGGTATGGTGGGCAAGAGAATTCACCAGAGACAGAGTGGGGAACAGAACAGGCAGATCTACTGAAAGACACTGCTGAGGGGCACAAAGGTGCCTCTGCTCACTTTTTAGGAGCTGTAGGAGCTACTGCCCAGCTGGGAAGCCACATGGTGGGCAGCCTATTTAAAGTTATCACTGTCCCCTTCTGCGGCTTCTGCCTTGTTTTGCTTCTCTTTCTCAAGGATGCAGCAGTCTTCTCTGTCCCGGCCTCTGGCTTGACCTCTCCCATGCCCTGGGCTGAGGCCCTGACTACAGACAGGTATCCTCCCATAGCCCACATCCTGCACTCCCTGCCTCAGCCCATTAGTTCCCACTAGTTCTTGACTGTTAGCACAGTTAAGGACTTTTCTCCTATGGAGACACCTTCCTCTCTGGCCTCAAATGTGTAACTTTAGGTAAACTGTCAGCCTCTGGGTCTGCTCTTCATTCTCTTAACTTCACCTGCCAAAAGGTTTCACTCTCCTTTCTTAGGAATGCTTTGGTAGAGTCACCTGCATGTCCCGCTTCCATAGCCTCCTTTCCCCTCTAGCCCCCAACTTTGTGCAACATGCTTCTGTCACTCCATGAACCTGCCTTGCCAAGAAATGTCCACTTAACAGACATTTACAAAGCTCCTGTTTCTACATCAAATATGTCAAACAATGGGGAAATGAAGGTGACCAAATCAGTTCTGAACTCATGGCCTTTGTGCCAAAAGACATGTACACAAGCATAATTAAAGTCTGGGAAAGAAGACAACCGAATGAAGGATACCTAGTAACTGAAGAAATGGGGCAAAGGGTCTCTGTTTCAGAAGCTGTCCTCTGCCAAGAAAGCACAACTCCCAAAATGCAGGGCGACGGTCCAGGAAGAGGGGCTAGTTCTCCACCTGCACCGCTGCCACTCGGGTCCAGGGTCATCCCTCTCCCGGGTCGTTCTGCAACAGCCTCCTCACAGCTCTCCTTCCACCACTCAGCCCCTTACAGTCCATCCTCCACGCAGTAGCCAAGAGTAGGACTTAAGAACACAGATCTCCTGTCAGTTCCTGCCTAATGCATCTTTCAAGGACTCCCTTTACCTTCAGGTCTTTTAGTTAGTTTAGGAACACAAGAGCCTGCTCCAGGAGAACAAGAGGAGTACAGGATCTAACTGTGCTGCCCTGGTGTGAAGGGACCTGACTCCAGAAACCAGAGTGAGGCAGCAACAACCTATGCCTCAACGAAGGGCCACTCCTCTTTGGGCGCTGGGGTTAGATAGGGACAGACTAAAAAGTGGCGGGGGTGGAGCCAGGCGCTCCACCTCGCCTTCCGGTGCGGCTTGTGCCCTCCCCGGCTTCGGTTTCGGAACCTTTCTTCCTGGAACTGGGGGAAGCTTTTCCAGTTGTACCTTCCGGCCTCGCCAACCCAATTTCCCGTGCGGCACCGCGGTGGTTCTTTCTCTTCCGGCTCAAGGCGCCTGGGGAGCCGCGGGCTTCGGTGAGTGCTGGCCGCGCGGCATCCGAAGCCATCCGCTGCTCGCGGACGGCGGCCGGGCGCCAGCCGCAGGGAGGGCAGGGAGAGCGGCTGTGTAGCTATGGGGAACGGAAGCCTCGCGCCAGGGGTGGTGTTCTTGGGTTCTCAAGGGATGGATGAGAGGGGAGCTCGAATTTGGAGGGAGATTGCAACCTTGCGGCTGGGTGTGTCTGTGTGAGCAGGTTTATTTTGGACCTAACAGTTTGGGAGGTGGGGTGGGGTTCGTTGTCGGTTGGGGCTGACTGAGTCGAGGTGCGGGTGGAGACCCTAGAACCAAGACATTCGTTGCTACTGCCTCGCCCTGGTTTCTGGAGTCACGTCTTTCCAGATCAGGGCAGCACAATTAGGTCCTCTGCAAGACCGCAGCCCATATCTCCACTCTTCTCCAGGTGCAGACATGGCCAAGTCCAAGAACCACACCACGCACAACCAGTGTAAGTTTCCCAGGCTGGTCATCCATCTCTCGCCCCAGATCCTGGCAAGCATTAGGGATACTGGAGCAAGTTAGAGGGTACATTGTGCCATGGGGTCTGGGACTGATTTTGGTTTCAACCAGTACTGCCTTTGGGATTATGGATTTTTCAGGCAGGAGTCCATTTGAAATGCCGACTCAGCCTTGCTTGCAGTGATAGTGGGGTTCCCTGGTGGGCCCTGAGAAGTAATGGGGTTCCTGGGTTTGTCGGCTGTGATGCTGGGTGGTTTTGTTATAATGGATTTCATTCTTTAATTATTTTCCCCACAGCCCGAAAATGGCACAGAAATGGCATCAAGAAACCCCGATCCCAAAGATACGAATCTCTTAAGGGGGTGAGTGTGTGCACTGAGTCGTGCAGTATGTGGCTGTTTGGTTCTTGTAGCACAGTAAAGACCTTACATGTAGCTTTTCTGGCTTCGGCTGAAAAACTGATGTTTACTGTCTCACTTCTTCCCTGGACTACCAAAGCCTGCAATTTCTGTATCTGCCCACTATTAATCTTTACTAGATCCATAATAAAACTTGGCCTTCCCCTGTCTGGGGTATAACTCCCTGGTCAGAATGTAACCTGCCTTCTGAGGTTCTTTGTGAGCCTTCCATTCTGCACTGACTGGTCATATGGCTTTGATATAACGAGTGCTTGGTGGGGGCCAGCTTCCCTTCTTGTGCCAAGTAGTTCTGAGGACTAGCTGAGACAGGCTGATGCTGTGGGGTCAGAGATCTGAACGCTGTCATGTCTAGCCTCCATATTTTTGATCTGATCTGTGAGTGAGTCATTAATCTTGGAGCCTTCATTTCCCCATCTTGATCTCTTTATTCTTATTTACTGTGAATCTGTTGCCCCAGGCTTGGTACTCAACACCTTGGGGGGAAAGGTTAGGAATGGTCCTGAGAGGGTTGGGAGAGGTGAACTGAAGCCTCGCAGTGGGAAGTTAAAGCCCTGTGACCCTGACACAGGGTCGCTTTAATTTTTGCATTATTTCATTGCTCTGTCGTGATTGGGCATGTAGGTCTGAAAATGTTGTCCATATGTAGTATAACCGGGGTGAGGCATTGACTTTGGGGTGGTGACAACACATTTCTCTTCAGATAAGTTGCTATGGGTTAAAGCTCTTTCAGCATTTAAGATTGACGAATGGTAGGTGTGAGCTCCTAATTAACTTTGATTGGGGCCCAAGTTTCCTGGGTATCGCTTTGGAGGGGGCACCTGGAGTGACTTGGACTGCTGCACTTAAAGCCACCTGTGTCTTCCTGCCTTTCAGGTGGATCCCAAGTTCCTGAGGAACATGCGCTTTGCCAAGAAGCATAACAAGAAGGGCCTGAAGAAGATGCAGGCCAACAATGCCAAGGCCATGAGTGCACGTGCTGAGGCTATCAAGGCCCTTGTGAAGACCAAGACGGTCAGGGCTAACATCCCAAAGGGCAACAGCCGCAAGCTCAGCCGACTTGCCTACATTGCGCACCCCAAGCTTGGGAAACATGCACGAGCCCGCATCGCCAAGGGTCTCCGGCTAGCCCGGCCAAAGACCAAGGCTCAAACCCAGGCCAAGGATGCGGCCGCAGCCCAGGTTCCCAAAGGAACACAGGCTGCCAAAGGTACACAGGCTGCCAAAGGTACACAGGCTGCCAAAGGTGCCCAGGCCGCCAAAGGTGCCCAGGCCCCCACAAAGGCTCAAGAATAGAGGACCCTATCTGCCCATGTGAGGACAGAAGGACTGGTGTCACCCCCGGGCTGCTGTCTACAGGGCACTGGTGTCTTCCTGTGCTGTTTGTACAAATAAATCTGAGGCAGAACTATCAGCCTGTGTCTGATCCCTGGGCTGGGGCTAGGGTTCATGCCATCATTTTGTGTGGGAAAACTGAGTATTCCCTGGAAGGTAGAGTTGAGTAGGCGGGCTGGAGCCTGGAGTGCAAGAGGGACCTAGTAAATGAGAAATGGTTGGGGGGCTCTTGAGGATCTGGCGCATTGCTTACTGGACTGGGTTCACTGCTGAGGAAGAATAGCCTCCTTTGGTCTTGAAGCCTATCCAGAGGAAAGGAAGGGGCCCTTCAGTTCCGTGCTTTGAGCAGAGATAGTCTAGACTTAGTCTATTCTTAGTGTACCTGGCCAGCAGCCACTGCTCTGGGCGGTTCAGATCCCCCAAGTGCTAGGGAACCTGGAAGGCCAGGGCAGTGGTGGCAATGCTGTAATGAAAGTCACCTGACCAGGCTTCTGTCCCCTGGATCAGCTGCTTCCCCGTAGTCATTCCTCAGCCAGTGAAGTGAGTAGCTAGCACAGTGCTAACAGGCGCTTGTGGAGCACTACTTGTCATTCTCCATGGTCTCCCAGTCTGACCTGGTATAGCAGGTCCTCAACATTTCAGTGTCAGCTAGAAGTTGCAATTTCCATGCATCTACCAGAGATGTCAAGTGAGGACTTAGTTTTACAGGTAAGCTAGAAAAAGGTAGCCATAGAGCCAGGTAGTCTAAATAGGACTCCAAGGGGTTTTGTAGGCCCAAACAGGGCTGGGCCTCAAGTTTTGGGTGTAATCCTGGTATGCTTTGGGTGGCCAGTTACTCAGAGGTGTCAGCTGGGACAGGGACAGTTTTTATGTTCTGAAGTTGGCTTGACTGAGCCAATCTCATCAGGTTGGTTTCCAAAACAGGAAGTGGGAACAGCAAGACCCCCCTACTCATCCTACTTCAATCTTGGGACAACCCAGGTGTCAGGCTTCAGCTAGGCTTTGAAGGTCCAGCCAGCTAGCTTGCCTTAATGCTTCCAGCCACCATACAGCCTGTCCCATGTAGGAAGCACAAATCCCTGATTTTGAATCTCAACTTCATTACCACCTAGCTTTGGGCAAGCTATTCTGGCAGAGCGTTTGAAAGGCTTAAGAGCGAGGGCCCTCCCTGGTGGCACGGGGTTAAAGCGCAGCACTGTGAAGCTATTGCAGCCACTGCAGCAAGAGTTAGATGTCTGGGATGTGACCCACACGTGCAGCAGACCTCTCAAGCTTGTCCACTCCCTTCGGTGTATTTCAATCTGCCCGTTCTGCTTCTTATCCCCCTGCACCTCTGGCCTGTACCCAGTTCTTGTATGAATAAATACATTTTTTTTTTGAAGGATTCATGCCGAAATCTATCAAAAGGAAGGGGAAGCTGGCCAAAGGCCTGGCCCCCTTTCTACTCTATGAGCAGAGGGATTAACACTTTCAAGAGTACCCTGCAGGCCACAGAGCCAGGCTCTGCCCTTTCTTGATGTCCATAGCTAGGAATATCAAAAACTAGCCTCCCTATTGGCCATGGGAGGTCAGAACAGGGTCAGCAGATCACCTAGAGGAGCAGGCTCAGCACCCAGGGCCCCTAGCTGACTCCACTGCAGGGACAGCAGGACTAACTGAAGCCAACTTGGCCACACCACACACTGACATGTGGCCCTGGCCAAGGTGCTGGAGACAAAGATCTGACCTGGCCAGGGCTCTCAACACTAAAGCAGAGGCCACACTTTCCCCTTTAAACCCTGGGGGTCTTGATTAGCTACCTACTGTTCAGGCCTGCCCCACATTTGGAAGGTCTCAGCTGGCCTTCGGGTCCTACCTAAGATGGTGAGTATGCTTAGTGTCCCCCTTAGTGGCAATGGTACCCCTTATCTCACAAGTCAAATACAGGTATGGTGGCCACTGAGAATAGAAACTGTGGCACCTTTTGTCCAGGGTGTGTCTTGTTGGATACACACAGCTGGCATGGATGATATGCTGAGACAAGTGCCACAGAATAGCAAGCACAGGGTGTTGGGAAGTGCCCAGAGCCAGGCTGTTCCCTCATCTGAAATGGGCATTTCCCATGAGAAATGAGAGTCCCTGCTTCATGAACATCCTCGTGAGTACTTCAGAGGTGTCCCCTGTCCACACAGACTTTATTGTTGGACAGTGGGGGAGAGAGGGGTCTTTGGCACTGGTCAGGGTGGTAGCTCAGGGGTGGGGGGGAGCATGGTGCTCACTTATCACTGGGGAGGGCAGGGACGCTGGCCAGGGCAGGCAGTAGCCGTGTGTATATGTCAATCCCACGGAGGAATACAGCCTCGTGCAGCCGCTCGTCATGGTCATGCAGCAGCACAGGTGTGCGGTTCATGGGTGAGAAGCCCAGTGCCGGGATCCCCACCTGCAGGCAGTGGGACCATTAGGAGTTAGGCCAGCCTCTGGGATCACCCCACTCCCAACCTGCAAGCGGCTGGCTCACCGCGCGGATATATCGGCTGTCTGTGGCAGCAGGGAAGATCTTCGGTTCTAGAGTGAGGTTCCTGCAGGAGGAAGAGCCTGGTGAGGGGGAGGAAGGGAGCGAGGGCAAGCAAGGGAGGACTGAACGCACAGAGGAGAGAGGGAAGGGGAGCGGAGGGCTGCCCGTGTGCTCACATGTCCTTGCAGACCCCACTGAATGCTGCCCACCAGGGGTCTGAGTCTTCGGTAGATGTCATTCGGGGTTCTGTCCACTTCTGCGGGGAGGGGAAGGATGTCAGAGTCAGGACAAGGGCCGGGCATCTTGCTCTGGACTGGCACAGGGCACACCCACCTATCACCCACCTCCCCACCCAGACACCCAGCTGACCAGTCCAGCCATAGGCCCTCTTTCAATCCCCCGGGTCAGCTGACCAATCCAGCCACAGTCCCTCAAAGTCCCCTGGGTCAGGGGCCTTCCCATGCTTCCATCTACTACCCATCCTTCAGATCCTAACCCAAGGATGCCTTCCTTCAGCTAGGTCTCCCAGCTGTCTGGAACTGTTAAATATTCCAATTACAGGTTCTCAGAGGAGGTCCCACACTTTCCTGGTCCACGTGTTCATACTTACATAAAGGTAATATATAAATATTTGATTAATGTCTATTCCCCATTCATGCTGAAGGGACTAAGAGAGCAAGAACGGTGACCACATTTGCTCCCTACAGCGTGCCCCAGCACCCAACGGTCACACCCGTAATACCTGTTGGCATGTAAAATGTGTCTCTCGTGGCCCGAGACATGCCTAGACACGCCCACAGAGAGGTGCACTGAACACATATCCCCCAGTGGCATATACTTGGGGAGCCCAGGCTCCTCTGCAACCCCTCTTGATTCCCCATCGGTACCTGAACAAACTCGAAGGTGACCCCCTCGCCAGCTGCCTGGCACCAGCTGTGCAGCTGCTCCTCAAAAGCCTGCAAGGAGGGAGATGAACTGACCCCTCAGGCGCTCCCCAAGGCTCGAGGGCAGGGCTGAGAACTGGGGCTCCTTCCTCCAAACCCCAGGGGAAGGTGGCACCTTCAAGTCCACATCGGGTGCCACACGGAAGTCAAAGCTGGCGCTCATAGTGGCAGGTACCACGTTATAGGCCACGCCACCTTCCAGCTTAGTCAGGTTCACACAGGTCACAGCCCCCTCTGTCAAGTGGGGGTTTGACTGCAGCCTGAGGCAGGGGGCAGGGACAGCAAGAGAGAACAGATAAAAAAGGGTGGTCAGTCCCCACCCCACCCTGACCTGGTTTCCAGAGCCCGGCCCCTCCCAGAATGCCTCACCTCTGCTTCTCCTTCTCTCGGAATGCCATGATGGAGCTCACAACCTTGTGCTAGGAAAGTGAGAGGTCAGATGTGAGACTGGCCCACGATGGAGCCTCTACAACTCCCCAACTCCCCCCGGCAAGCCAAGTACCAGCTTCTCCGCGGCAGTGTCCTCGATGAAGCGTGAACCATGGCCTGGATTCCCAGTGCTGGTAACCCGCACCCCTGGGAGATGTGGGGGAAGAGAGGGTCTTCAGCAAGGTAGGGGGTGGGAATGCAATCACCTCTGGGGTGGTCTGGTCTTCGCCTCATTCAAAGCACCTCTCCCAGAATGCATAGCACAGAGCTGGTTTCTGCTTAGCATTAGGATTTCTCCTCTTTAGCTGAAGAAGGTGAAGCCTGGGTGGGAGAGGACTGGGAGGCAGAGACTGGGTTCAAGATGCACTCGGGCCCCAACTTGTCATATGACCCTTGGCAGGCCCCAGCCCCACTGTCCTAGTCTCCCATCTGCACAGTAGCAACCACCCCCCAGCCCATACGCACACCAGGGGCTCCGCTCGCTGTAAAAGACAGTAAAGGCATCAGTGGGGTTGGCCAAACCTGAGGAGGGAAAGGGGGTTCGGAGAGTGAGGTGGCCCAAATCCCAACAGCAGCTTCCTCAACTCCTGCCTGCTGCTCAGGGTTCTGCGCCTCTGCTCACCCTCATCCAGGGCAAAGCCAGCCCTCAGGGCCTGGAACTCGGGTCGCTGCACAAATAGCTCCATGCCTTGGTGACCCCCAACCTCCTCATCTGCAAAAGCAGTGGGGACATGAGATGAGGGGACCACACGTGCCCATCCTTAAAGGTGTTCCTTCCCAAGCCTCTCCTACCTGGCACAAAGGTCATGTGGATAGTTCTGGGGAAATGGTGGCCCTCAGCCTTCAGCCTCCTCACAGCTTCCAGGTATCTGAGGGTCAGTGAGAGAGTGTAAGCCAGGTGCGGGGGGAGCCACCAGATGCCAGAGCAGGAAGAATGGAGCCCTGGCCATGGGCCATCCTCTGCCACAACATGGCAGGGGCTCCAGAAAGTCTCTGTCCCTCTCTGGGCCTCAGGCTCCCCACCTATGCAATGGTCACAATAGAAAATCCTGCCAAGGAAGCAGGGTGGGGGTGTCAAAATGTGGAGGGTTTGCCTCATTACAATTGAAAAAGCAACATGGGTCACCATCAGCTCTATTGAAGCCATCTGAAAAAAATTGACCAGGGTTTTGCTCTTGTGACGCCTGTTCAAACCAACATCATTTGATCCAGAAACACAATATGGTCTCAGTAAGAGCCACCAGTGTTTCTGCCAGTACTTGAAGGATTTAAGCTTCACTAAATTGACTAAGTGAACTTCCTTCAATAGGTCATTCGAGATCTCTAGCTTATGACAGAAACAAAGCTAGGTCTGTACATAAATTTTTTTAAATACTTAAAAAATAAATTCCTTGATCTCGAGATTATCCAGTCACACCCCAGATCCCAGGTCTCCAGTGGGACATTATGGCGGACTGGAGCTGAAGGACACTCACTGGATGCTGACACACTTCATGTCCTGGGCACCCCTGGCATAGATGTAGCCCTCAGCATCCTTGACGGCCTCAAAGGGGTCATGGCTCCAGTGTTCCTGTGGACAGGGATGGGAAGAGGAACCCAAGCCCAAATTTCATGAATAATCCACTTTGGTCAACTGTGGCCCACCCCTAGGAGCCCACTGTAAGGCAGGGGTGACTGGTGGGTGGTGAAGGGGTCAGAAGTGTGCTGAGAGGTTAACTGATTGCCACCCCTCAACTCTGCCTCCCACCTCCACTCCCGCCAGCATTAGGATCCACTCTCAAAGCTCAGGGCCTCAAGTAGCTGTTGAGCAAGGCTGTCCAGTAGAGTAACACTGTAAGATGTTGAGGGGAGGTGACAGGACCAGCACTGTGGGTTCCCGGAGGTTGAAAGGGGTCTGCATCGTCTTTGTCCCTAAGGACTGCACCATTTCCTGTCCACCCCCAGTACCTTGAAGACTGGTACCACATCCGTGTGGGAGTTGAGCAAAAGGGACGATAGTCTAGGGTTGGTGCCTGGCCAGGTCAGCACGGTCACCACATGGCCAGGCGCCACCTGGAAGGGTCAGGAAGTGGGGTAGTCAGTACAGGGTGAAGAGGTACCCCACGCCCACTTCCCTTCCCCACTCAGGACCCCAGGCTCACCTCTACTTTCTGACAGCTCAGGCCCAGCTGGCAGGCTCTCTCCTCAAGAAAGGCCACAGCTGCCCCTGTGGGGACAGAGAGTCTTGAGGCTGCTTCTGGCTACTCATGCCTTCCACTGGTCCAGATAGGACAGGGAAGGGTGTACATCCAAAGAGGGGAGGAGAGCCCCAAATGGACTGTTGCCTCTTTAACACAATTCTACATCCCTCAAAGACTATTGCACTTGTATCTCCAAAAAAGATTTTTGTCAGTGACCTTTGTGGAAGGCCAGGTGGGAATTTCAGGCTTCGAAGCCTGTGTTGTTATTATCATCTATAAAGATGGGACAACTGGGGCCAGGAGAACAGGAGACTGACCTAAGGGCTCCCAGCAGGTAATTCACTTACCAGGGGTCTGGACCCAAGCACACAATTCCCAAAGGGCTGTGGCCTCTGTCCAACCCAACAGGCTTCTAGAAACTTCTTGTGGTTGCCCCAGGCTCCCTTCTAGCTTTCCCCTTCCTCAAGCCCTGGGAAGTGAGATGAAGTTGATCCTAAACTAACAGAGGAGCAGCAAAGCCTCCCGGGGAACAGGTTGCTCCCCGCCTGGAGGGGCTGCCGAGCAGTCTGCTGACTTAGGGAGAGGCTAGAGAGGTCGAAGATTCCTCTGAGACAAGGCGTGGAGCTGACCAGGAGCAGAGCTTGGTTTAGTCCCCACCCTGTCATCCCCACCACAGCCCTGAACGGGCGTTCTCACCGTAGTCCGGCTGGGGTTGCACGGTGCGGATGCGCAGGTACTGGCGGAAGAGCGTCACGGACGGGTGCTCAGCCTCGCGCCCCTTGCTGGTCATGGCTGCGCGCGGTGGGCTTTGTGGGCTATGGGAAAAGCGAGTGCTGCCCATCCTCCCCAGCTGCTGGGACCAGTGGCCTCCCCCTGCAAACAGCTCCTCCCCCCGGCGGTTCCCCGGACGTCCCGCAGAGGGGATACCCCCAGTTAGAGCTTTGCTGTTTCTGCTGCTGCACTGGCCGCTTTCCACGCGTTTCTTTCTTTATTCCTCCAAAGAACCCAATAAAGTGCATGCCTCCGATTGCCCGCTTTACAGGGAAGAAGGCTGAGGTTCAGGGCCGGCTGGAGTAACTTGAGACAGGTTGGAACCCAGACACTGTCCATCTCTCCAACCTCCTTAAAAAAATTTCTCCCCAGTGCTCGGATTTCTTGCCAGGGAGCCCAGACCCTCCAGCCCTCTCCAGATCCCCCCACCTCGCTCTCTACAGGTCTCGGGCACGCGCTCGCCTCTCAGCGCCTGCCGCGGACTGTGGCCGGGACAGAGGGTTCGGTGAGGTCGCAGACTCGGGACCGCCCCGGTCCGCCCACCACGCGGCGGGGCCGCGATCTCGAGGCGGGGCCGGAGCCTG